CCTTCATGAATTGAACTGAGAATAGTAAATAACTTTATGCAGGCTAGTCGTGACTACCACCCCCAGCTAATATGAGCTCCATCTGAACCAGTAACTGAAAGGTGAAAATAACTTAATCCTGTTATCCAGATTATGATTGATCAATTTCCCCCCGAAAAAGAGAAATCTGGTGCGTAAATCCCGTTCTCCCATGCATGCCACCTCCCAAGTCAAATGTAAAGTAAGCTCTTTGAGTTGTACAGTTCTTTCAGAAATGTCTTTCCATCCTTCCCACTTAATGTTTCCATTTAAACATTAAGGTATTCAGTCTCAATTTATCCTTTCACATGATATGATATCTGAATCCTGTTTTTGTAGAGGTTTCTCTCATGTACATAGTATACAAAACATTTTGTAAATAGCTTGTTGCTCTGAATCACCCTGATCCAACTCCATAGTAATGCTAGAAGTAACAAATTCATATTGCACTTCAAGCTACAAAGCACTTCAGACTACTTAGTCACAGTTTATTTGCTATTAACAAGCTGTTGTTATTTTCTTGGACTTTGTGAAGCACCATTTTGGCATGTGTCCATGGGAGAAAGATTATATGCTGAGGAAAAGGAAGCTACATTTATTTCCTTAAACAGTTTTATAGTGATAATGAAAATTATGAACAATGGATGGATGGAGTTCTTAGAAGGAAATTTTCATGATTATCAAAAATGTCGTTTAAAGGTGCTGGGAAAAAGTCTGTTTGTCTTATCCTGCTAACAAAGAAGCCAAAGTAGCTATTAAATTTGGTCATCTGGAACATTTATTTTTGCCTCCAATATTTTACGAAAACAGTGACTTTTTAACTGTAATTTATTCTGAGGCTGTTTTATGTCTGCTATAGAAATAACATTATTAACTGTCAGTTCATTACATTGTTTCATTTTTCCCCCCTTTCTTTTAGGTGGGAAGAGATAGAGAAAGTGGTGCCTCCCTCTATAACTTAATCTAAAACCAAAATAACTTTTTGTTCTGCTGCTGTAACTGTCTAGTTTCTGAGTCACTACGAAACAGAGGTTGGGGAGTTTTAAGTACTGTAGATTAAACACTTCAAAGCCAGCCTTGACTAATATTTATGTGCATTTAAGACTACACGAATATACAGTAACATCCAGTCCAATTGCTCTGCATCTTCTTCTTTACTAATCCCACTGGATTTTCATCTAACCTGTGTTTGAAAACCTCTAATGTAGGTGACTCAGCTACTTCACTAGTCAGTTTATTCCATTTCCTAATTGTCAGGATTTAAATGTTTTCTCATGTTTAAGTTGATTTTTTTCCATTTTTAGTTTTATTCCACTATGCCTTGTTTGACCAATTTATGACTCTAGAAAATAATCCTTTCCTCTCCTTCTGCAATACCATTCAAACATTACATATCCCTTTAAATGACTTTTTCTCCACCAGCTATTCAAATGGTAATCCCATCAAGTAGTTTTCGGATGTCTTTTAGCACTTATGCCATTTTAATTGCCCTTCTTTGAACTTCCGTTCATTGTTCAAGCTCCTTTTTGTAGAACAAGAGGCTCAAAAGTATATTCTAAATATAGACTTACTGTGACTAAAAATTATATCTTTACATTCAGTGACCACTTTAAAATGTTTCCTTTGGTAGCAAATTAGGACTGCAGTATACTATGATTTTTGGATAAAGGAAGTGTCTCCAGAATACTGAGAACATTGGGATGACAGTTTCTAGAAGACAAATGCAAAAAATATGGCTTTAAGGACAGTCATTAAACTACTGAGCTTGCCATTTATTTTTATGATATTGTCTTGGTGACTCAGATAACTGCAGTTTTAGTCATCATCACAGAACACAAATGAACTCTCCCCCTGCCGGCAATGTCTATGCTCTGTTTGAAACTTTCCTACATTTATACGCTATTTTGAGGATCTAGGTGGTACATATATTTGTGGCAGCCCACTGTACAAAGGCGAATTTCATTATCATGTCCAGCAGGTTCATTCCCAGTTCATAGCTACATCATTATATCTCATTATATCTTATATCATTATATCTCAAGAAGTGCTAATATACCGTCATCTGTTCTTGCAGCTTGCAGAGTGTAGCCTTAGTGATCTACAAAGATCATTTGGTTTTCTGTAGAATGAAATATTTTGAGAAGCTTACAGTGGGGAGTGGAGAGGGTGGAAGAAGAATTGATCTGGGAAGAAACTCTCATGAGTCAAGCTGGAGAACCTCTGATACAGAATTTTTAATCTGATACCATGTATTTCTCTCTATCTGTACAAGCTTGCCAGAGCATGCTGCTCTCTGATATTAATTATCTAGCCTACCATGATTTACCATCTGCCAATTTGGTCATTGTGAAATTTGCATTGTTCTACAGATGATTAATGAATGCTGCACATTGGAAAAATGCAGGTCACAGCTCAGAAGACTGGTTGTTGCAGGACAGATCTCCACTTCTCCAGCCATTTTAACTTTACCCAAATGATTCACACCTGCTACATAAATACACCTCACCCTAACTTATTCATGCTAGGGTATGTCCATTCTTTATAAGGGTATAGCCCCTTTTCTGAACATTTTATATTTGTGCGTCTTGCTGTATCAGAAAGTTATACGAGAGCAAGTTTAATCATGCCTGCTAAATTAATGTTATTCTGCAAAAATGAAAAACTAGTCAGTAAGTCTTAAATGACCTACTAAGTTTTATGAATTTAAGTTATTTATCATTAAGACTGTGTGTTTTGTCACTGCAGTTTTTAGGAATAATAATGTGGAGGTTAACAGGAAATAATCAATATCATGGAAATACAGATTTCAAAAGGTTAAAGCTCTGGGACATTACTTAGTCTCAAATGACTTTTAAAAAAAAATTAACCCAGAAATAAAACATATATTAATTCAAAGTACAAAAGAAACAGATGAGTTACATTTTTGAGTTCATCTGCTTGCCAATGTAGATATGCCCCATATCTTGATAAATCTTCAGGCCTAAATTTTGCAAAGTAAGTAATGATTTTCAGAGGTCCCAAGTTTGGGAGACAAGTTAAAAGACACTGATTTTCATGCTTTTTAAAATAAAAGGACTTTTAAAGTGTCCTTGTCCTATGAATGACCTCTGGCAATCTAAATTACATTGGCCTAATATCACAGTGCAAACTTGTGCCCTCTGAGATTCTCTCAGCCTTATGGTGGCTTCTGACTCTCTCTCTCTCATGTGTTTCAAACTGGTGTTCCCCCGAGGTATTTTAAGTTGAATCTTACTGTTTCCTCTCCATTTTACTAATCTCTCTAGGCTGCTGGCAGTATTTCTTGCTCCTTTTAGGTCTTTGCAGTTCATCTCAGTTCATTGTAATCTGCATGTACTGCTCACTCCTTCTAGATCATTAATTAAGATATTAAATGAGATGGAACCAAATGCTGATCCCTCTGGCACCCCAGCATGTGCTGTGGGTTAAGAGTTTTGAACAAAGGAGCTGCCATGCCAGAGCTGACCTTTGTAAACCTAAATTGGTTCTCAACATGGTAATTTTAATTGTCCTTTTAAAAAAAATAGACACTTTGACAAGGGGGAGCCTCAGAGCCCCTTGGGGAATTGAAGATCTTGCTGAGAATCCACTGCTTTTGGTCTTTTGTATCACCAGGCTCTTATCATTGAGCTCCTGCTCGCTATTAGCTTTTCTGACATTTTACAACTCCAGTCTTAAGGCTCTAAGTAGTTTGTTCATCTTCCTACTGTGAGATGCAGGCACATGCTGAAATGCCCAAGAGCCAAAGCCACTGACCATTAGGAAAATCTACAAACATATGGGCAGGGTGAGTTATGCCCATGTAACTGGAGGTGAGAGATCTTAGTTTTAGTTAAACTAGCACAAAAGGCTGTAAGGACATACTTATTGAGGCATCATGGCCTAGTAGACAGAGTGATTGAACAGGGATTCAGAAAACCCAAAGACTTTTTCATTGCTCTGCTTACCTGCTAGATACCTTAAGCGAAATCGCTGTGCCTCATTGTGTGCCTCAGTCTCCTCCCATGTAAAAAGAAGATAATGATACTGACTTCCTTTGTAAAGTGCTCTGAAAATCTACTGCTGAAAAACTCCATACGAGAGCTTACCACTTATCTGTATGTTATTATTTTAGTTTAATTTAGGCTTATTTTGGTTTACCTCGTGTCAGCTTGACATCGTTTTGAATAAAAGCACAATCAGTCACTCTTAACCTGAAATAACAATGAACAAAGGGGCTTGTGCTGGTTTAACTGAACCAAGTTTAATTCAGCTGTTCACACTGTTGTTTAGACGAGGCTATATTTTGACCATTCACTATTCCCTTTCTCAATATTAAAGTTAATTCAAATAACTGTTTACCACTTTGTTCCAGATTTCTTGCTTCCTTCATATCTGCATTTCTATCAGCTCCAAGACTAACTTACTGTTGCACAGTTGGCTTTTTAATATGGCTGAATAAAGAAAAATGCTCTGATACTAGTTTCCTATTTCTGTCTGGCCAAAAGTGTCACCTTGCATATTCAACAACAGTCTTTATTAATAAACATGAAAGGCTTGATTCTTTATTGCATTGCAGCTAATTATACTAGTGCAAGCTATGTTTAAAAGGCAACTAAATCTGAATGGGAACAAATTATGCCCACTTGCATATGTATTCTGTTATTTTTTCCCCCTTGGAAAAAAAAATAGTACGTGATCATGTAAACTAAAAACCATAAAATGGGCCAGAATAAATGTGAATGGACTTGTTCAGCAATTTCCTAACTTTTTGACTTTGTTATTTTATCACTCTTTAGGCATAGTGACTTTGTATGCATGTAATGCTCGAGTGTCTCTACCTACAACCAAAACCTTTCTAAACTGTGGTAGAACAATTGTAGTTCAATTGTAAAACTGTGGTAACAATTGTTACATAAAGTTGCAAAACATATCCCAATTTTTTAAATATTGTCATCTTTCTTTCTTTTTCTCTCTCCTTTTAGATTTATCCCAGAGTGTACTGGATGAAGCAGAAAAGCCATGAAATTCTGAAGATTTTCCTCAGGAGAATATATCTATCTGATGTCAAATGCATTCACAATGCAGAAGTACCAGTCTGTGTATTTTACTCGGTACCAAATGGAGCCTCCAGGAAGAAAAGGCTCTAAAAACTGCACAAAAAAGTTCCATTCACATCAAATTGATTGGATCTTCCGGCCAGCCACTAGATTTATCATCCTTTCTGTGAACAAAGTCTAACCACTTACCAAACTGTTGTAAGGTACATTTATGTTAATCTGCAATATCAGCTCTCCATAAGGACTCTGTTGATTGATCAAAGAGTGTTTGCACACACTTAAAAGCAAACTTTGTTTCTGGATATATTTTATCTGATTGTTAAGATATTCTGTACTCTTCCTCCCTTTGAGATTACATTACCGTTTTCTCATAATGTCACAGTTTTGACAAAAGATAACCATCTTCTTTCATCCTCTGCTAACCAATCTCAATTTCTACACAGCTGAATTCACCACCAAAAGAAAGGCTGATAATCCACCAAGTTTCCTCTATCCCCCATCCCTGATATATACTTCTACTCTCAAGAGATAGAGTAAAATATAGTTACTTGATATAAAGACCATAGTGTCTCCAACCCTTTTGCCATGAAGTCACTGCAAAAAGAAGTAAAATTTACATTTAAAGTACTGTGAGCACCATGACACGCCAATCTTTTCCTGCATTAAATGTGATACTTATATCTGTAATTCTGATTAGGGTCAAGATTTTCAAATGTGATGAGTGATTATGAATGCCTTAATTGCTTAACCCAATTTGAGACAGCTTAAAGAGGATCTCAGTTTTAGTACATGCTGAGCAGTCACTCTCTGAAAATCAAGTCCAAGAAGGTGTCTCAGTTGGAACATCCAAAGTGGAAGCACCTAAAAACACCTTTGAAAATCTTGGCCTGGTTTTCTGAAGTGTCAGGTACACAAATGAATTGTTGAGAGTAACATGAATGTAATGTCAATATAAAGCTGCATATAATGGCCTCAAGATAACAGAGACCTAGCTCTGAGCATAGAAAATATGTCTTTTTGTTTTGGCCTATTGGTGGAAATATAAAATAAGAAGTTTTGACTTCTTCAGCAGCATGCGTGAAATGAATGGTATGTCTCATTTTGTAACAGACACATTGCAAAATCTTCCTTCACACTTGGCACCCTTGGTGGCTGGATCAGCACAAGCACCAAAAAGCTTAATAACATAGAGATTCACTATTCCGAGAAAAGATCCCTCCAACTCAGTTTGGAGAACTTTGGGATGGGGTGATGGCTGTAGATTTGTACTGCTTTTTACCAACAGTAGTCTGTGCTGTACCTGTCCTTTGGATAGTGATGGGACTTGATTCTCCAAGACTTCCAGTCTAGGAGCCTTCATTACCACTAAATCTACTTTTAACTTCTTCCCACCTCCCCAATGCCAAAAATATTTGTTCCCATCCTGCAACAGTTGTGCATTGCCAGCAGGCTCCTAGGTATCCTTGTGGTACTGCTCTATCTCAATAAAGTAGATGTAACTGTAGTTATGCAGAACTTTTTTAACAGATGAACTATTAAATGAAGCCAAGTGATAAGGAAGCAGAGGAAAGTCACATGTGGCCCTGGAACTCGTTTAACATGCAGCAGTCCCATCTGGTTGGTCTTGTTCTCTAGTAGACCTCAAAGACCTTCCAGGCACAAGGATGAAGCTCCCTACTTCTTTCCCTGAGGGGGCAATCACCATCCCTCTGCTTGCAGTGGAACAATTGCTTGTGCAGAGTTTTCTTTGCTATCGCATCCCTCCCGCATCTTTTTCTGCAGGAGGGCAGTATCAAAATCATCGTAAGGAGACATCTGCCCTCCAGCTCTGTGAAAATTGTACAATAAAAGAATCTCCCCATAGTCTCCATATACACCTCAGTGACTAAAGAAAATCCATGGGAGCTAATCAGTTACTGTAGCTATTAGGCTTAAACTTTAACCACAGGTCTCAGATCTTCTCTTGTGTACTATTAGTGGCTACTAGATAATCTAAAGAAGTCAACTGCAATTACTATTAAAATCCCATACTATAGAAGTGCCATTACAATGTAGATTCCTGAGCCAAAGAATTCTATACTGTTATATACAGCATCTGGAAAGGAAAACATATGGCTTTAGTGGGATATATTATAGTGTAGCAATTATCATTATTGGGTATGATCCAAACACTCAAAACTGTCATCAACTTCAGTGGAAATTTTGAGTAAGCAGTGAATAGAGGTTCAGGTCAATTATATATGTCTATTTCTATAACTTTTATAACAGTGAAGTGTGTTAGCTTTGGTGTTGCTTCTGTTGGCCTATTCTATGCTAAGCTTTGCAAGATGAAGTCTCTGTGGGGAATTAACCTATAATACTTCTGAAGGGGAAAAAAGCAATAGCTAGAGAGCAAAGAAAGAGAAAATAGTGCATAGTGATAATTTATGGTCTCTTTTTGTCTCATGATATATTGTGGCATTCAGTAGTATCATCAGGTTTTAAAACAGATGTATTTACCCTGGGTATAAAAATAATTTGTTTTTTCCCATGGCCATGTAATCCAATTAATTTAGAGGAAATAAGTCATTGCAGTTTAGTTGCTTACCTAATAGTGTAAAAGGAACCAACATGAAGAAGCTCTCAGAAGTTCTCAAATGCAGTATGAATGGAAAATCTCATCCTTCTGGCTGAAAAAGTAATCAGGCCAAGTTACAAGTTAGAAAAAATAGAGAGTCAGCCAACTCCAAAATATAAAAGGAAAAGGGGACCAAAGTTCCAAACACCAGAGTGCTTGAAGTCAAGGAAGGTACTTCTGGCTAGGTGATTCTGTTATGTGCAGGATTTGCACCAGCACTCAGTCAGCTGTCCTATTAATAAGAGACCACATTATTTAAAAATAAGTTTGGGGTTGTAAATACAATTTTCTAGTTATTTATGCTCTAAAGAAATACTCATTTAAAAAAAAACCCATTCTTTCTTGGAGTGAAGCAAGCTTTAAATATGCAGTGTGTCTATTCTTCATCAGATTACTTGAAGAAAATGCTATATTTTTATGTAAGGTTTAGTGCAAAAAAAATCCTTGAACTGGTCATTTTATCAAAAGCAATTATAGATATAGTTAGAGGTAGAAATAGGAAGCACGTTGTGATATTATAAAAGCCATCCTCTCAGTGGTACCAACTTTTTTATTGTTTATATCTACTGCTCTTTGAAATGCATTTTCTAAAGTAAGTTGTGCTATAAAATGAAATATACATTTGATTTTCTTTGAACTACAGAATGCTTATAAAATGTTTACTGAATGATATTTGTCCAAGGTTTTTTTCTTCAAGTTTTTTCATTCAATTCCCCCGCCCCCTTCTTTCCTTCACTCTCTTGTGTGTTTGTTTTGGGAGTTTTCACCCTTGCATTTTAGAACAATACACTAAAAGGTTTATTTCTATACTGACCAACATGCAGCTGTTTCTGAAAGTCTGGGCTCAGCTAAACTTTTTGGGTTTCAAGACCCTGTGGCTTGTACATCCCCAAAATGATTCTTCAGTCCAATTAATGTTCAGCTAAAGCAAGGAATCACAACAAATCTGTATTTCCCAGGAACTGGATTTCATTTTAGTATTGTATGCATTTCTCCTCTTCAGCTTTTACTCTGCAGACTGAATTAGATGTATGCCTGAATGTTCTTATCTTTGTTCTCATAGTGCATCTAAAAAGTAATTTGCTGCCATGAACTAAGGTATGCTGAGCAGAGATTGTAATTTCTATGTGAAACCCTTTACAATAGAAAAAAGCATTACAGTCTATGCATTATGCTGAATAAATATCTTTTCTTCTCATCAATATATCCTGTTTACAAATTCTCTATTCCAAAACCCAAGCAGCTATGAGACTTAAATATATATGACAATATTGTAGTGGCGTGCCTGGATTTCTATGATTACTGCTTTGAAATTAGTCTTTTTTTGTAGTTTTGAATCTCAACACAAAACTTCCTTCACTCTGACAACCTTGTGTAACCTAAGGTCCCTCCAGTAGTTACATGTGCACTTTGTAGTTGAGTTAGAACCTCTGCAACTGCAGTGACTCTTGAGGCAAGTGAGTGCTCTTAATTCCAGCTGGAAACAGTGAAAGATTCGTGCTGCTCAGTGCCTCACAGGAAGCATTCAGCATCTGGCAGGATTAGGCCTGTCCTTAGCAACTTTGATCCTGGTTTGCCTTCAAATGCATCAGTTTTCCAGAACATATCATTTGGAGACTTCAGTAGACCATGCATTAAAGACAACTAAATGTTGACAACCATTGGTGGTTTTAAAGTAAGAAATTCCTGCTCTGCTTGATCATCCTCTATATTTCAATTTCTTGCAGTGTTGTGTAATGTTGAACAGTATTGGAAATTCCCACGCCCAATTTTATCCCAAACCTACTATTTAAGATGACAGGAAGGTTGGAATCTGAAGTATCAAAAATAGGATTCAAACAAATGCTAAGAAAAATTAATTGTTTGGAGAACTTAGTTTATCTCCTTTACTGATGTCCATATTCCTTAACTGTGACTGACGGATCACAGCACAGAGATCTAGCAGTTTTATTGGCATTAATAAGTGATTTAATTAGTATGGGGATGGAAGCATAATATACTTAAATGATTCAACCCAATATCCCCTGGTAAGGTGTCTTGGCTACCATATCTTTACATCTGCTGTTGCCAGGAGTACAAAAGAAGTGCAAGAAGCAAAGATATATCCCAACTCTTAGTTGTTATTAATAACTTCTTCAGTGTTTCACAGATATTTCTATGCTGTGGGAATCTGAAGAGACAACATAGCATTCTGCTTATAGACTCGGTCATTTATATAATGTGAGGTTCTTTCACTGCTTGTGACCACAGTATTACATGTGCACTCTGTTAAAAGTTGAGCTCAAAATCTTTTTTTTCCAGATAAAAAGACTGAACAAAAGTATTTGGATAAAATAACAAGTATTAAAAATTAACTAAGAGTACTAGACCTAGAGACTTTAGGGCTAAGTACAAACAGTCAAAAAGCCCAAGACTGAATCGATTCAGCCTTTGCAGGTTAGTCTAAGCTGCAGAGATTAAAATGAGAAACAACAGGACACACACTCACATTTGATTCAGGGAATGCAGCCACATGCTGCAGTGGCTCAGGCAAGAAACTGGGGGGGTGGAGCCAGAGGACAGCTCTCTGGCATGAAGCCAGCATGGGCTGTGTGTTTGCTTCTTCTTCCTGCTGCCCCCAAGGTCTCTGGGATTCGCAGTCCACAACTACAGCAGCAGGACTCTGCAGTGTTGCCCATCACTTCCTCTTCCTGCTTCCAGGTACGTCTGGGATTTATAGCCCACAGTTGTAGCCAGCAGTAAGTTTTTAGCAGGACAGGGCAGCTCTGTACTCTGGGGAACGGAAGTTTAATCCCCCTCCCTGGCCCCAGGCCTCAGCTGGGGTATGCCTGGGTTTGTTGGGGCTGTCCCTGCCTCGCCCCCACCCCCACTCCTTCTCTGCTGAAGCAGACAGCACATCCCAGCCCAGACCAGGGCTGAAAATCATGCTGGGGTGCTGGGGGACTCTGATTTAACTTGAACCAAGAAGGAGTCTGGGACAGAAGTTTCATTAACTGGTTTGACCCAAATCAGTTAAGTCTGATACTACATTCAACCAGTTTTATCCTAAACCAGTTTCAGCCATTTTGAACCTGGTTTATGTACACTGAAATTCAGTTCTGTTACAGGTTTAAATCAGTTTCTGATGACTGAAACCAGTTTAAATGCAACTTCGTCCCTAACCTAGGACATAAATCAATAGGTGTTAGAAAGAAACTTTTCCAGCCAGTGGCTTATTTTATAACTGTGTATTGTAGGCAGTGACGTACCACGAGTCTCTGGCGCCCGGGGGCCAATGCTTACATTTGTGCCCCACTTCCCTCTCGCCTTTCTCATAGCAATACTTAAAAATACTTAAAGTCACATTGCGCGATAAGAACTCTGAAGGGCCCGGCTGGCGCCCCCCCCACCCCAACTGGTGCCCAGGGGCCATGCCTTCCCCCACCCCCTGTCAGTCCACCACTGATTGCAGGGCTTCTTATTTCTTCCCCTCAAGCAGCTGGTGCTGTCTGACTTCTAGGAAAATGGTAGTGCCAGATTCTATTCAACCTATTATGCATCTAGGTACAGATAGGCAACTGAAAGCCTTCTTTACCCTGTTCAAGTCCCAAAACTCCATGAATGAATCTACATTTGTAATACATCAACATATGTTTAAGAGCGAGTCAGAAGGAAGCTGTGACAAGAGGGAGGATGTTTCCACCTTTGGCATTAACTGTTTTTCAGGGACTCAATATGCCAATGTCTATTTAGATGCCTAACAAGACAAATAGAATCTGGCCCCCCAGTGTTTCCAAAATGGCCACTGGGACGGGTTGGCCCATTCCTTTTCAGTCCATCAAAACAGCATTTTTCTCCATGGGATACAACTGGTCTGTTAAAAACTACCCATTTTAAAGTTATTATGCTTCTCACTATAGTACCTTAGACTTAGTACAGTGCTAATAGACTATATTTTTGGAATGGTTGTTTAGTGCCACTGTAGTTTATATTTTCATCCTAAAATGTTTCTTTGGGAATTCATAGCTTTTGTTCTTGGAAAAACAATTAAGAATCTAAAAGAAAATGATAGTGTTTGCTAAGAACACTTTAACTTTGTGAGCAGGCTAGGAGCTCAGAATGTTTCATAAGCAGGAATGATCAGTACAGACCATTATCCACAAAACACCACCCCACAGAAGCTGCCCTGCTGGGTACCAATATTGTATGCAACCAAAGAAACATAAAATACAACCTTTGTTCCAATTATGTAAGCTAGTGGCTGGTCAGTGATCCTTAGATTGGATGTTGATACTAAACCAGTATTATAAACTGCTGAAAGGCCTAGACCAGCTTCAATGAATGTGACTATTCTACCACTATTTTTGGTGGGATCAGAATCATTTCTTAACCTATTAGTTCATTAGAAGCACATGCTGTAGCAGCACACTTATACATAAATACATTTGCTTCTAACTAAATGTTGACATAATTAGTGAGAATTAGTCAAAAAGGGCAGCATTTACCATAGATTGCCAAAATAGTCATCTTAAGTATACTATTGTATACATTGTACAATTACTGCATTCCACCCCAAAGTGGCTGTCTCACAAAGGATGTTATATTTTATGCGGGACCTTTCAGCCTGAAAAAAACCAAAGCACTTTGTCATCTCTAATATATAGGAATTATTCTTCTTACTTCTGAAATGCAGTCATTTCCAGGATGAAACAGCAAAAGCAAGACTTAGAAAACAAGTTAAGAAAAATGCCCTCTTTCTGAAGCTGTCAAAAGAATGTATTTTCAGAAGGAAGTTTTGGTAAGCCGAATACCATTACCCAGTTTGGGATTTGTTCTGTACAGCACACTAATATCCCTTCTTTCAAAAATATCCTAAATGAAGGCAGAAGGCAGTGTAAATTTGCACCTTTCTAGGCAAACTAAATCAGAGATGTGTAGTATAAGCAGTAACAGGGGGTATTTAAGTACCTTCAGAGCATGTTAGCCTTCTGCTTATGAAAGCTTATGCTATACATCTCTGATTTAGATAATCTATAAAAACCTTGTTACTCAGTAATTTTGTGCAGCTCCTAGAGTCATTAACCCCTGGATTGTCCTCATAATACATGAAACTAGTTTTAAGGACTCGTTAGGTGGCTCAAAACCAAACCACTCAGGGCAGGATTGCCTCTGATCTGTATTGCCCAGCTCATGTTACACGAAGATGTAGCCACTCTAGGCTACACTTTAATGTAAATCCCCTCCCCCCTCCCCCCTGCTGGCCTGGATCAGACCCATTGCCCCTCTCTGCCCTCCTCAGCACCCCAGATCCCTGCTCACTGCCCCTTTGCCTTGCCCTGCTTATTTATGGCTATTTGTGCTGTCTGTCCTGGGGGAGTAGGCAGGGAAGGGTTAACCAGCCACCACCACCACTGCTGCTATCTAAGCAGGCTCAGCCCAGAGAATAGCAGCAGCCTAGGGGTTGCAGTTGCAGCTAGGCAGGCAGGTTAATCCTTCTCTGCCTGCTCCCTTGGGATAGGCAGCACATGCAGCCCGAAGTGGGGAGTAGAGGGTGGGAGAGAACCCCAACATTGTGAGGGTAGGGGGAAGGGGTCCAGCCCAGAATGGGAGGGGGGAGTTCTTATTTTTCAGTCCTCCAGGCCCCTGCTGGCTTGAGAAGTGTGACTACTTGAGCTTATTTATCATCCTCAGCAATCCCTCACAGTCAAGGATTGGCTTCCCTGATCTGGGTTTCTTTTGCAATTCAGGCACATGTTCTGTGTGGGTTCAGTACCTCTGCATACTTGGTTCATTCCGCAACACATCTACATATGCATTTACTCCAGCTCAGACTTACTCTGGTGTAAACTAAGCCCGAGTAAGTGTTTTTGGGCAGGTGTCTACACAAAGGCTTTTGGAGCAGCTCTAGGCTCTGGCTGCAGCTGCCTGGCAGCCCTCTTTAAAAACCAGCCATGCTCTCTGGCCAGCCTCTTCCTTGCCCAGGCGCAGCATGCCAAGCACAGGGACAGCACATGGCAGCTTTCTCCTTGGCCACTCTGCCTCCCTGCACTATGGCTGCTCCAGCCCCTGGCCCTGGCAACAACGACCAGCGCCCCACAACCCTGCTGGTTGCTGTGATGGCCTTGCTGGCCCATTGCACTGGCTGCCACCTGGCCTACGACTGTCTTGCCCCACCCAGCTCTCCCATAACCATCTACTGCCTGCCAATCCACAGCATGCCTACCA